TCACCAGTGTCTACGTCATCAGTAGAATCTGTTTCATCGTCAGCAACTCCATTGTCAGTACCATCTTCGACATTAATAGAATCTGTTTCATCGCCATTAATTCTATCTTCAGCAGTATCTACATCGCCAGCAACTCCATTGTCTACAGTGTCCACGTCATTAGTAGAATCTGTCCCATCGCCAGCAACTACATTGTCAGCAGCATCTACGTCATTAGTAGAATCTGATTCATCGTCAGCAACTCCATTGTCAGTAGCATCTACGTCATTAGTAGAATCTGTTTCATCGCCAGCAACTCTATTGTCAGCAGTATCTACGTCATTAGTAGAATCTGTTTCATCGCCAGCAACTCCATTGTCAGCAGTATCTACGTCATCGTTAGAATCTGCTCCATTGTCAACAACTCCATTGTCAGCAGTATCTAGGTCATTGGTAGAAACTTTTCCATCGCCAGCAACTCCATTGTCACCAGTATCTACGTCATTAGTAGAATCTGCTCTATCGCCAGCAACTCCATCGTCAGCAGCATCTACGTCATTAGTAGAAACTGTCCCATCGCCAGCAACTACATTGTCAGCAGCATCTACGTCATTAGTAGAATCTGATTCATCGTCAGCAACTCCATCGTCACCAGTATCTACGTCATTAGTAGAATCTGTTTCTTCGCCAGCTACTCCATCGTCACCAGTATCTACGTCATTAGTAGAATCTGTTTCAAAGCCATCAACTCCACTGTCAGCAGCATCTACGTCATCAGTGAAATCTATTTTGTCGTCACAAACTCCAATGTTATCGGCATCTATGTCAGAATCTATTTCGTCATCAGTAAAACCATCTCCAGTAGCTTCTATGTCATTAGTAGCATCTATGTCGTCATCAACATCTACGTCCTTACTARAATCTGTTTCATCGTCAGCAWCTCCATTKTCAGCAGTATCATCGTCTTTAGAAACATTTGCTTTGTCGTCAGAAACTCAATTGTCAGTAGTAACTTTATCATTAATAACAAAAATGGCKTCACCAGTAACTCTATTAGCGTCTACTTCATTAGTAGAATCTKTTCTGCCAACAGTAACTCCATCGTCAGCAGCATCTTCGTYATTAGTAGCAAGTATGCCGTCACTAGCAACTTCAGTAGCATCTACGTTATTAGTAGGATCCGTTTCGTTGCCMGTAACTCCATYGTTATTAGCATCGMCTATGTTAATAGAACGTCAGTCATTCGTCAATCCATCATCAGCAACATTTACATCTATTGTGTCKTCATCAGCAAATATATCTTCATTAACATCTATATTGTTAGAAGAAACTACATCATTACTAAGAATTACCTCATTAAAACTATCTTTRTCTTTATCCGTAACTGAATTACCAGCAGCTACACGTTTAATAAAATCTGTTTCGSCAACAWCTCTATCGCCAGCWACAGCATCCTCATTAGAAAGATGGACCCAAGCTACAATTCCATCAGTTGCATCATCTACATTGCCAGTGTTGTCAATGGCCCGTCTGYCCTCTATAACRTCTCTGTGGTCCTCTGCAAATCCAGCGYCTTTGTTGGTTTCAACAACTGCGTCATCTATRGCAGCAACTACGTCTTTAGTGGAAAAGACATTAGTAACTGAATCATCAACATCATCTGTGTCATCATCGGCAACTCCATTATTATTATTATCAGATTTATCACCAGTGTCTACATCGTCAGGATTCTTTATATCGACATTGTTTTTGATTTCATCTTCAGCTACTCCRTCATCTGTAACATCTACGTCAKCATCAACTTCTCCTACCGCATCATTAGTGGCATCAGRTACCTCATTATCAGCAGCASATRTATCATCATCAGTTACTCCATCATTCGTAGCATCGAGATCAACAACAGCATCTTCAATTCCACCGTCTACAGCAAGGCAATCGTTATCGTTMTTATCTGCGTTATCATCCACTTTTTCACCATCATCATCTATATCTCTGCCTTCGCCAGCTTCTGCTTTCCTACCTTTCGCYACATCACATCAGTCCTCACCAGCATCGCGAATATCACTATTTCTCGCACCTTCAGCATCATATCAATTCTTATTCTCTAATGCTACCTTGCTAACATACGGGTCTTCGTTTACACTTTCACAATCCATATCACTTTCGTTAACTTYACCAGCATCTTCACAGACTAATATATTGCCATTAACACYTCCAYCGACATTATCACATGCATTTTCATCAGCAGTTCTATCATCAGTAGCACCCTCAGCTACAAATAAATCATCATTATCACTGCCAACGATACCAGCTAATTCATTGACAAACGTTTCAAGTACAATTTCTTCATTGCCGTCTACATTGCCACCAGTATTGCAGTTGCTTACCTCTTCCTCCTACACACTTAGACCATCACATCCACCATCTGGTTTGTTTGAGTCTTCATCAAAACTCTCAACATCTACATTAACTTCGGCGAAAATGATTAAGCAACGCTCTTCATTCTTATCATCAACAAAAACCCTCATCATCTTATCGGTTGTTAAAGAACCGTCTTCTACTACCTCACTAATAGCAACAGTAACTAAGCCAACGAAAAGTTTTGAAAAAAAGTTGTCTTCTCTTGATTCAACTTCATCAACAGTTCTGCCGGGATTTTCATCACCTGTGTTTTCAGTATTATCTTCTGTATCAATAGCAACATCTTCAGAAGCATCTCGAACATTAACACCCACGACAACATCAGCAACTCTATTGTCATCATTGGTATCATTGCCTTTAACAAAAGTGCCAACAATTTCTCCGTCATCATCATTACTAACACTTAGCTTCAACTTCTCAACAAATGCCACTCCATCGCAAGCAACAATGCTCATAACAAACGTTTCAAGTACAATTTCTTCATTGCCGTCTACATTGCCACCAGTATTGCAGTTGCTTACCTCTTCCTCCTACACACTTAGACCATCACATCCACCATCTGGTTTGTTTGAGTCTTCATCAAAACTCTCAACATCTACATTAACTTCGGCGAAAATGATTAAGCAACGCTCTTCATTCTTATCATCAACAAAAACCCTCATCATCTTATCGGTTGTTAAAGAACCGTCTTCTACTACCTCACTAATAGCAACAGTAACTAAGCCAACGAAAAGTTTTGAAAAAAAGTTGTCTTCTCTTGATTCAACTTCATCAACAGTTCTGCCGGGATTTTCATCACCTGTGTTTTCAGTATTATCTTCTGTATCAATAGCAACATCTTCAGAAGCATCTCGAACATTAACACCCACGACAACATCAGCAACTCTATTGTCATCATTGGTATCATCGCAACAAAAACTAAAAATTTCTATGTCGATCTCGTCTTTCAAAGATTTTAGAACTTCAAGCTTCATATCTGAAACAACAGAGTCATCACCAGCATTATTTGCGAGCATTAAGTCATCATCATCTTTGTCAAAAGAAAAAACGTCTTCATCAACGAGGTTGACATTACCAACACCGGCAACGTCTAAATCACCATTTTTCACAATTGAAACTTCGTCAACAATGAAAACGACTAAAGAMCTTACATCTTCACATTCAGTTATGATGTATTCCTCGATCAAAATATCATCTTCGCTTGGTAATAGCACAATCCAGTCTTCACCAGTTTTATCAACGTTATCAGCTTCAAGTACTAAAATCGTTATCATTAGGACATCACCCTGGTCTCAGTGGACTAAATGTAGCACAACCTGTGGTGGCGGAGTTAGAAAGAGAATTCGTACTTGTGGTAACGAACCAAGCAATGGGTTTGTTTGCCATTCTTCTGAAACTGAAGGGTGTAGTTTTCAACAATGTCCTGGTAGGTCKTGATTCATTGTTTCTATCCTTACGCAGGTACAATATGCTTAATTATGGATGCAACGCATATTATGCTTATTACCATTTTGCACCTACAACAAACACGRGAAAACAAAAACAAAACTTTCTTAATCATTATTATCAATAAAGAACGTCCACAAATGATTCCGTTATTTAGAAGTTTTMTTTTCTTTTTAAAGTTCACGGTGGATGGACGACTTTTAATGATTGGCGAAAATGCAACACTCCTTGTGGAGATGGACTACAAATACGTAGACGAAGCTGTACAAACCCCGAGCCTAAATATGGAGGAGAAAGCTGTGCTGGAGCAAATGAAGAAAGCAGGCCTTGCCAAGGCAACAAAGCATGCCCACGTAAGCTAATTGAAGCAAATAAGATTCAAGTTAATATCCCATGTTTTATTTGGCTAAACACGAACAAACGAATTGAAGAGGAGCMTCTTGAGAGATCTTTTCAACACTCRAAGATAAGATCCATATCTCTGCTCGCCCATGTAATATCGTCTATATAAGTCGGTTTTCTTAAGACATGGGAAGTCTTGACTGCTCTTTTGTTGTATTTGTAGGGGTTAGAACAAGGTATACAGTAAAGCTTAAAGAAGAACTTTGGGACGACAAGCTCTACAATCTTAACACGGCGGAAAGCAAAGCCTTGATTTTAAAAATCGAAACTCAGGTAATAATTTCACCTCTTCCAATGTTGATGTTTGAACCTGCTATGATTCGTTAAAAGGCAGCTCTTTATGTATGTTTGAGAAAGTAGGATGGTCGGAATCAAGTTCAAACAGTTAAGGCGCTCCATGTATGAGCATACATACCAGAAGAGTTAGGCATTGATAAAAAAGAAAAAAAGAGATTATAAACATGATTGAAGAATAAAAGAAAAGAGCTTGTACAAACGTTTTGTTGAATATCTACCTTCAACGGACAAACTTTGGATAGTGAGTCTTACTGTATTGTTGCCTCTAGGTTAAGAGYTATGACAACTACGATAAGGTCCTAATGGACATCAATGCTTTTAACTTCAGGTAACTAATGTTCATATGTTCATCATTATATCAACTGGATTATTAACAAATCAATTAAAAATCATTAAGATAATTATCTTCATCACTTTATCCATATTTTGTCATGTAACTTCATTCCCAATCTTTTGAATCCATGGTGAAGTGATGGTGTTAAAGTTTAATCTTGTCGATAGATGAACACCCCAAATATACGAGGGGATAAATTAGCTTGCCTATACATCACATTAGGTATAAGATGRGATATTTATTAGTTTTCTGACAATGAATGAATCTACTTATTTTAGTATGTAAAATCCTATTGCTGTTCTGTCTTTTTATATAT